CTTAAGTAGCGTCAGAAGGCTGCGATCCTGAAAACTCAGCTATTAAACTGTTTTCTCACCACCTGTCTAAGTGCAACTTTGTTCTGAATTTTGACTTTTAGGGCTTTTCTGTATATCTTTAAAACGGCTCCACAGAATTTTTTTAACCCTCATCTCACAATCTCCATGATATATATATTATTAAAATGTCTGAAACTTTCATTGATCGCAAGAAAGGAAATACACCAAACTTTCCATGCATCGAAATATGATATTAAGCAGCCTTCTGACGCTAGTGACGCTAGATTAATTTGAGTTCTTTAGAACTTTTTTATTAAACAATTTATCACAGCTATTAAAAATGTAAGGTTTGAAATACATTTAAGTTTTATTTGAATTCAAACATGCAGAATTTTTTCCCTCTCACACAGTTTATTTCCTAAACATCATACTTTAAGTTTCTGGTGTCGGATTTTCAGTAGCAGGTCTAGATCGCGCGAAATTTGGATTTAATCGATTTTAAAGTTTTTTGTTTATTGTTGTCATAGTGACATCGACTTTACTAAAAACTGCATTTTCGCAAACTTTAATTCATAGTCAATCACTGGTGGAAATTTTGTGGCGATCGAACGAGGATAAAATCACTTTTAAGGCGATTGAAAAACATCGGTATGGTCTCTGAGAAACTGCATCGAAACATCTTAAAGAGTGAATACTGCTATTCGGGGAGTGAGGAAAAAAGCGTTGAGAAACTTGGTAAGATTTCCGAAGAACTGATCATTTTTGAGTTTTTGGGAATACTAGAGTAGCAGTATAGCTCGCGATAAAAGGGTCTAGTGGAAAGGTGATTTGTTCGGCATGCGGATATATGATATACCTAGTCTTGAATGGTGCCTCTCTTGGATGGTTTATTAACCAGATTTTTTATTCCTATTATAAATGTTTTATAGGTACGGAAACAGATTTCTTTGCCGGACTTCGAGGCTGTCGATGTTTGGAAAATCATTATCGAACCAATATGTTTAAAGAATGCAAAAAATGCGAAGTAGGATTGGAATGCAAGGATGATTACGCAACCTTGAAACCCGGTTATTGGTGGAGTTGGAGGATCGAGTCCTATAAAGATCATTACCGACATTTCATAAAAAATCTTTTGACATCTACACCAGCATTAGGAAAAACTGATATACAATATCCTCACCCAATATCCACGCCATACAGATGTCCACTAGAAGAATCCTGTGAAGGTGGCTTAGATTCTCGTTGCAAGATTGGTTACGAAGGCCCACTTTGTAGTGTCTGCAGTTCACGGTATTATAAACAGTTCCATTCATGCAAGAGATGTCCATCCAAGACTTGGATAGCTGGGCAGTTGTGTATCATTGTTACGATTATTTTGATAATCGTTGCATTTTCTGCGTGGTCAAAAAAGGTGAAAAACGGGGGAAAAGAAGGAAAGCACTCATTAACAGACACGTTTTTATCCAAGATCAAGATCGTTATTGGCTTTTATCAGGTCACCAACGGTTTGCTAGAGGCACTCTCTTACATATCATGGCCGGATTCTCTTCAGATGATTGGCAAGTATTCAGCCATTCTGCAGCTGGACGTTCTCCAAATAGCGCCAGTTAGCTGTCTTTCTGATGGATTGCATGTTGACGCTTTTGGAAACCTTCTCGCGATTATGACAATAAACGCTTGTTTGATCGGATTTGCTTGGATAATTTACCTTTCCAGTAAAGCTATCATTTCGAAAAATCGTTGTTTAGAAAAAGAGGAAATGTATCACAAAATTTCAGAACTAAAGGAAAAAGTTTATAGAAACTTGTTTTTTGCCCTGTACGTGACATACCTGAGCACATGCTCCAAAGCAACCTCCTTCCTGCCAATTGCTTGCTGGAAATTATGTCAGGATAAAGAAGACGAGAACTGTTCTGAGTATCTGAGAGCAGATTACAGCGTAAAGTGCGATGATTCAAGGTATAACAACCTAGTAATTATTGCCTACCTTTCAGTTGCCTATATCATCTCATTACCAGTTGCGAGTTTTATCTCTCTTTGGAGATGTCGAAGAAGCGAAAACTCCGCAAACCAAAAGACATTTGAGGGCCGCGACACGGAATTGGTTACAGGGCTGAGCTTTCTCTTCGAAGATTACAAAGACCGTTCCTGGTATTGGGAAATGGTTGAGATGTCTCGCAAAATTATCGTTACATCGGGTCTTGTCATGGTGGGAAGTGAAACAAGGTCCTATGTTGGCTTGACCTGGGTCATTGGAGGAATGTATGGGGTACTTTTTTCCTGGGTCAAGCCCATCCAAGATGATTCTCAGAACAGATTGATGACAGCATCTCTTGCAGTGACTGTTGTTAACTTGGGAATTGGAGCTGTGAGTAGGATTCCCGCTGAGAACCTACCTGCTTCAGACAATACCTACATGAACAGTGTGGCTTTCGATATATTGATTCTCGGAGCAAATACTCTCGTTATGGGACTTTTGATTGGTAAGTTGATTTTTTAAATTAAATTGTACTACTCAATTAAGTTGGCTCGATAGAGTTTTTCAGGGTCAATACCAATCAAGTTTGAGCATAAACTACGTCGCCATTAATAAAGATTTGGACAAATTGCCACCACAACTGTAGATAAAGAGGAAAATTTGTTGTGATCTGGGATACAATGACATCGGAGTTGTCATAGCAACGAGATGAAGCCATTTCCTGTTCTTCCGGCTAAAACCGTTCACGGTAACTTTTTCCTCTAATTGCCACCTCGTTGTTCGTGAAGTTTAAGCGTCATCGGTATTTTTTGGGAACTAGAAGTTTGGAAGAAGTCTCCGACAAAAAAATAACGAATTGTAGCTCGTATTTGACTGCCTTACAAGATATCAACAATCTTCAAACTAGCCAAAGAATATTTAAAATCACAATAAATATATATATTCTATGGAGCGGTTTCAAAATTATCCGCCTTTTTGTTAAAGTAGACCGAAATGTTTACAAAACCGCTGACACGAGCGTCTCGATACATTTTATTCAAAACCTCCCTTCTAAGAAATCGGCTAAAGCTATCTCCATGATCTTTCACACACGTTATTACAAGATCGAAACTACTATGAAGCGGAATTGCACTTCAAAAACGCTTTGTTTTCTACAGATAACGGTCGAACATGAAGATTATCCAGTTTTTACCGTATTTCTAACCATAAAAACCTCATCCCAAAATATTACGATAACGCTCTTACAGACTTCGCTTAAACTGCCTTGAAGCAAAATAGTTAGTGGCGTCATTTCGTTGCTATGCAACTCCGATGTCATCTTAACCCTGATCATAACAAATTTTCATCTTTATTGAGCTATTTTGAAAAAAATAGCTCATAATTCAGTGGTCTGAGCGTAATGCATTTTTGTGGCTTTGGGGCTTTGGGGCTTTGTGACTTTGTCTCTTAGGATGTGTGTTGCAGGGGCCAATAAGGTTGAAGGTACTATGAGGTACTTTGCTAGGAACCAATGAGATTTTGGCATCTAAACATAACATTGCTGCCTAAAGGTCAAACAAGGCGGGCACTTTAAGTCCGCCATTTCTTGGTTCTTATTTATTTATAAACGTCGCCAAGAGGCCTGGATCACTCACAGAGCAAGCTCCACTACGAGGCCTAGAAAAAAAAGAAAATTAGTAATACAACTAACAAGAATGACAATACTTTAGAAAAGACGAAAACAAACGGAAATGCAAAAACAGAATTGGGGAGGAGATCGATAAAAAATCAACAACACGAACGATCGAGCAAGCTGTTCAATGGCGGCTAGTGTGGCACTGAATACACACACTAATGCAGGTCTGGGGGTGTCGACCTCATAAACAGAGTTAATGAGATACAAGTAGTAATTAAAAAGATCTTTCTTGAAGTGCGCTTCTGAACAGTCAGTGTTAGGAGGTGGGCTGGTAAAGTATTCCAGGGTATTCTTAAGGCTCTACAGTAAAAACTGTTCTCAAAGGTGACGGTATTGGCCCTTGGAGGAGACAGTGCGCCTGGGTCTAGTGGAATTCACGACTGAAATAATAGGATCCGATAGACTAACTAAACATTTGAATACGTACACCGAATCTAAACATTCGTGCCAATAACATAATGGTAGTAGCCCAATTTTCAAAAGTCTCTGCTTAAAATTCACGTGCGACCGATGCGGCAAAGACAGAATGAATTTTGTTGCGCGCCGCTGAAATCTTTCGATGTCAAGGATAAGGTTAACAGCTTGAGGAGTCCACACCTGCGAGCAATATGCAAAGTTCCTGCGAACTAGTGACAGGTAAAGTAGCTTGCGAGCTCGCTGGTCATGAGTGTCGAAAGCTGATCTGCGGAGAAAGCCAAGCATGCTATTGGGCTTCGAACAAGCTGCCAGCACTCCGGAGTACCATTTCAGATGTTTAGTAACTAAAACCCCAAGGTCCTTCTGAGCTTCCATCGTCTTAACTTGGACATCGGATAATTGATAGGGGAAGTGAAACGGGCCAGCTTTTTCTGGTAATAGAAAGTAGCCCGCACTTGGATTGATTTAGATCCATTTGCCAGAGATCACACTATTGGTTAATGTGGTCGGAGTCGCGCTGCAGGCAGGCACACTAAAATATGAACGCTTAAACAGCTGGGTGGCTGCTGGTTTAAGACATTTATGACCTAATTTGGCTATGGCAAACGGCAAAACGTACGTGAATTATGTTTAACCTGCGTCAAAGTGAAGAATAAAAAATCATATTTTTCAAAGGTGTACAAATGAATCGTTGATAATTGGTATTTAGATACTGACTCTAACTTGGAAGTATGCGGCGTAATTGTGTTTTCAGAAGTTTGAACAAGAGCTGATTTTTTTAAAGCTGTAACGAGTAAACATGCTTTTTTCTATCTTGTACAATGTTCAACAGACCTTTAAATTCACGTTCCGGCAACGTAAGTGTAACCATATCTGATACATGTTTGCTATCCAGTGGCTAAGTGGAAGTAGCCAGTTGATTTAGTTAATTAGAGATTTTTTAGTGAGTGGAATAACATGGTATGAGCAGAAACCAGTATTTCGGCAATTTGAGTGATAATGTTAGGGTATCAATCTTAACATTGAATGATGCATAATTTAATTGCAGATGTTAGAAAAGGAGTTGAATTGTTAAAATCGTTTGAGCAACGAAATCTCGTAAGCAATATGCGTTCTTTTACGTACAAATTATAAAAGGGGCAAAGCCCAACATCTTCATCAGATCACGTGCAAGTTGTGTGCATGAGTTATTTCTATAACCTTGTTTACTAGACTACTGTGTGATACCTCGAATTCCCTCGCGTACGAACCACGAAAGGGAGCAAAGTCCAGCACTTTCACGTGCCAGCTGTGTGACTGTACGTCTCGTACAGATTGGCTTTTCACAGTAACAGGAAGCTATGGAGCGTACACTTTGGCGTCTTGGTTGTGGAACTGATTAATTGTAAATGCGAAGGAATAGTAAGAAATGAAATATGGTAAGAGTAAGGTGTTAATTTCTGAAATTATGGGATTTGTCAGGATATTCTGAAAGGAGCAGCATCCAAGAGGCCTACTTGCCAAAAACTAGCATTTCGGGGCAAATTGTCTCTGAGATATTAGCCCAGTTATGCTCTGATGACTCCATACAAATCCTTCTTAATTTGACTTGGATCTAAACGTTTAGACCTAGGTCAAATATGAAGTTACTGGCGGTGAATAACAAGTCTAACAAAACAAACAGTGAAAAAAGAATTCTCTATTTTTCTTGCATCAGGCTTCAAAAACAGCATGGCAGTCTCATGTACTGATTAAAGATATGTAAGGCATGGGTAAGGAGTCAATTACGTTGAGCATGGAATTGGCTAAAACTCAATGTTACGAGTTCGAATGTTTTGAGGATAATTATTCACTGACTATCAGCAAGCAGGGATGTCGGATTAACACAAGGAAGATTAATACCAAAACAACGTATTCTTTACAGAGCTCTAAAACACAGCATCCGCCAACACAAACTTGACTTGAACTTAAGTAAAACTAAACAGCCTCTGCCAATAATAACAAACTCTCACTTGAACTTCAGATATCTTACGGCTTCCGCCAACTTGTAAACACAGAACTTGAAAATCGACCTTCGTCACAATTGATTAAACACAGCACTTCAGCTCGTGGGAAAAAAGAACTCGCTTGGAACGTGTATACCGTTTGACATAAGGTTCTAGAAATACTAAACAGGCGAATAGTAGTAGCTTTTCGACACATTTTATGATTTCAGTCACTGATGCAAATCTGCTGACTCGTGCTGATGTAATCATGCCCTAGTTAATTTTTTATAAATAATCCAAAAACGTAGAGAACGTTCGAGAAACGCATGAAAGCAATTTGACTAAGTAACACTCTTTCTTCCTCGAATAAGTTAAAGAATAAATCAAAGAAATCGAAGTGATCTCGAAACGTCTCTTCCTAATTCGGCTCTCACTTCGTCAAATAGCCGAATAAAACCGAAAACCTACAGACTGAGCGTGCCCAATCTTGTCCCAAAAATGTCAGCTTTGTTTCATTGTGTAGAATCGCTCGTGAAAACCTCGCGAATTATGATAATGCAACAATCTACCACAATGATAAAAATCTGCTTAACTTACACCAGATGTATCAGGAAAAGACAGAACTAAGTGAATGTATTGCATGAGGATCGACTCAGCTGAGCGTTAACCCTTTTCATTCGTGTTAAGCAATACCCAATTTCGCTCAAAAAACAGTCTATAGTTAGGATGAAAAAGGTAGATTCATCATTGTTGGTACGGTTACACCGGAGCATTCAAAATAGCTCATGCACGTTAAACGTCCCTATGTTCTAATATGGATGTGGAAGTTATAGTTTTAAATTTTTGTTAATAGCGACGTAGTTTATGCTCAGACTTGGGCGGTATTGACCCTGAAAAACTCTATCGAGACACCTTGAGCACCCAGGAATCTTTCCCACCTGTCTCTCCTGAATAGACACGATAAGCAACAAAAGCTTACGCTCTGATTACTTGGCTAAGCAATCGAAGATTCCCGTTTAAACGCACATAAATCTTGGGGTGTCCTTAACCTGCAAGTAATGCTCTACCAAGCATTCTTAAACTCATTAATAATTCATAAACAAAATACCAAAGAAATGAATGTTTAATGAGTGTTTGGAAATGTGATTAAAAACTGCTCATTTTTGCATCCTTAATTTCTCCTCCTTCTTCTTCCTCATTTTGTTTGAGAAATAATATCAAGGATTCGATACAGTGTTTCGTCAACAGATAAAACACCTGAAGTTCGTCAAAAATACTCCGCTGCGTGTCGTATTTTCAACTCTCTTCTTCTCAGTGTTTCATGCTTGATATATTACTTGAACGACATAAGCCCACCTAACTCTTTGTGTATATAACACTGAAATCGTGGCGCGCTCTAAGTCTGAGTCCTCTTAGCCACGATTTTAGAGAGGCAGCTCAATGATCAAACAAGCCCTTTTCGAAGG